GAGAGAGAGAGAGAGTTATTAGAAGTAAACAATCAGTACTTGAGAGGGTGGGGGGTTTAGTGAATGATTAGTAGTATAACAATTAGGTTTAAGTGATGGTCATGAGGAATTGGGCATGTCAAAGGCTTTTATATTTCTTAACACATATATTATTGGGAAAATTTAAAAAAAAAAACCAAAATGAGACAATCTGGGCAGCCTACTTCCAACAAAGTTTTTTTTAGCAACTTTTATCTCAAGTTGAAATTTTTCTAGCAAATGCCTCTGAAGAAAAAAAAGTCATTTTTTGACGAAAATGCCTATAGTACCGGATTATCCTATTTTGTGTCGGACCGCATGCCCAAAGTACTGGACCGCCCCTATTTTGTGTTTTGAGCCACATGCTTTCCAAAAACCCAAAGTGCTGGACCGCACCTATTTTGTGCTAGATCACATGCCCAAAATGCCAGACCGCCTCTATTTTGTATCGGACTGTATGGTTTCCAGAAGCAAAATACCGGACCGCATGCTTTCCAGAAGCAAAGTGCAGGACCACCCCCATTTTATGTCGGACCGCCCTCATTTTTGTGTTGGACCATATGTTTTCTCGAGGGTATTTTGATCTTTATTTTATTTTATTTTTTACTTGAGGTATTTGCTAGGAAAGTTAAATTTTAAATAAAAACTGAGAAAAAAAGGTTTGGTTGGGTAAGTTACCTAGATAGCCTATTCCTCGAGGTTATTTGTAATTTTAAAGAAAACGCTGGCTATCAATCATTTAGGAGGGAGAGAGACCACATACATCTCTACCATATCAGTTGAGTATATTTTTGTGGTGAATGAATATGCCCTAATGGATGGCCTCATCAATTGGGCCCTTAAAAAATTATAAAAACCCTCCAAATATACTATCTAGGCAACTTAATCGCCAGCTAATATTTTTTCTCACTTTTTTTCCCACAACCACTTTTCCTTGTAAAAACCTCCAAGGTAAAAAGTTGTTATTTTTTTTTTTTGATAGAAATGCCTTTCCTGTACAAAAAAAAAAGTCAATTGACGGTCTCAAGTAGCGTATTGCCGCAGCGGCCAATTCAACCGTCGGAGCGATGTAGCTCCAGAAGGAGTATTGCCGGAGCGCATCTTTATACTGCCGGAGCACTTGGTTTCATTGCCGGAACGACCTATTCAACCGCCGGAGCACTGTGGCTCCAAAAAGTGTACTGCCGGAGTGAGTCCTTGCATTGTTGGAGCGCTTGTCCTCATTGCCGAAGCGACCTATCCAACTGCCGAAGTGCTTTGGCTTCAGAAGGTGTACTACCGGAGTGAGTCATTGCATTGCTGGAACGCGTGTCCTCATTGCCGAAGCATTTAAATGTACTGCCGGAGTGCACAGGGAGAGAGTCGTGGGTAAAAGCCACAAGGAGAGAGAGGGGATAGTTTAGTCTCATTTTTCTTTTTTTGTGGATTGCTGGGTTTTGCGAGGAAAAGTGGTTGTGGGAAAAAAAGTGAGAAACAAGTTCGCTGGGGGTAAGTTGCATATAAGATGATATACTTGAGGGGTTCTTTATAATTTTCCATAGATTTAAATGACACTTTTAAATTTAATGTTTATGGAGGATGGGGTTCCCTTGTCAAAAATGTCAACCAGGAGCTTATCTCACGATTCCATCACTTCCCATAAAATAACATAACTAAAAAATTATCTCACGATTCCATCACTTCCCATAAAATAACATAACTAAAAAATGTGAAGTAGCCAAAACTCGTGGTTTTTTTATATGGATAGAAATCAATTGGGACCTAATCGGTTTTGAGATAGTACGGGTCTCGGTTTAGACCCTTGGAAAGCCTTTTATATATATATATATATATATATATATATATATAAAAAGATGCTACAAAATGCTTATAAGTGAATATAAATAGTGATTTCATTTACCCAAATCACCCTCCAAACTTCATTGTACAGTCACAGTTGTCCAATAGTGTTTCAATTTTCATTTTCCATATCGTGTCCCCAAGTTAGGGTAAGGGCCGGGCGTAGGTTAGGGCATCTTTGGCCCGATATAAGCTGTGCTTGGCTTATGTGGACCCAACCCGACCCCTTTATTGATTTTAAACTCTCTTATCCCGACATTTAGACAAAATTTGAGTAAAGAATTTAGGGAAAATTACAAAAACCCCTCAGGAGTAGATTTTCTAAACAACTTCCCCTAACCAACTTTTTTTTTCACAACTTGTTGAAATAATACTCGATATGGATAATTATAATATAGTTATCCATAGCTCATATTTTACCACAACTTTTACCCCAAAACTATATTTTATAATAAATACCCACAAGTTAAAAAGTTATATTCTTTGACGAAAATGCACCCACGAAACCCACAACTCTCCCATGTCGAGCAAGTGAAATTGCGCTCCAGCAATAAGTGTCGTCGGTCTGGTAGTTGTTTAACGCTGTTCAACAACGTTGTCTGGCGATCTCAGTTTGACAAATCAAATTTCGCTCCGACAATATATGTCATCGGTCCGACAGTCGTTTACCACGGTTTGGCACTTGTTTTACACGGTCCGACACTTGTTTGCCGCAGTCCGACACCTATTTACCGCAATCCAGCACTTGTTTTTCGAGATCCAGCAGTGAACCTATTGTTCTTATGACATGGTACCTTTCTGGCAAGAATATGTGCCAGACTGTCTTTGGTCATTGTGCTTCCAATGGGATGTGATGCCATCATGTACGAACAAACCTATTTTTGTGAAAAAAAATAAAAAATATGACTTTTCGACTTGAGGAGTATTTCCTATAAAAAAAAAATTTCGAGGTGAAAGTTGTAAAAAAAAAAGGTGCAGTTGGCATACAAACACCTCCGTAGGTGTAGAGGTAAGGTGCCTTTCAAATTTTATCATGGTATATAATTTTGATGTAAAATGTTACTAAGATTATCTCAAAATCTATTTTTCTATCTAATTATAAAATTTTAAATTTAAAAGATGATTAAAATCAAGTAGATCTATAAACATATGAAAACCTTGTAAATGGATGGTGTAGATAATATGTTGTAAAATGCACTATTTTTTAGATTTAAAATCTATTTAGTTTTCATAGTCATACATCTCGATGTTGAGATGATCAATCAAAGGGTTTTTCAACATTAAAATTACCTTTTTCAATGGATTTTTAAGGGGCATCCATAGTTCTACATTATAAGGTAGCATCCTTGTATAAACTTTTTCCAAAAAAAAATTGATAATATCTCAAACCTGTTCCTTTTGGGGAACCAGATTCACATAAAACACTAATAGGGAAGGCCGGGCCGTCTTTCTTTAACGAAATTTTGGAGCGTCAAGTTCAAAAATTTCGCAAAGAATGAAGGGGAATCACGTTCCAAAATTTCGCAAAGAACGAAGGGGAATCACGGTTATTTCTTGAAATAATGGGGATGTCATTGTCATTTCATGAATAGGAAAGGGTATGTCTTCTCCATTTCTTCCAATCGCTAGGAAGAGTTATAGTAAAACGACGCGGGATGGTCAGGACAGGAGGTGGCGTACGCAGCCTCAGAATTGGAGCCAAAAGATCATATGCTCCTGCAGGATCATTTCATGCATTCAATTCTCTACAAGTAGTACTTTAGGACCTAAATTTGAGATGTGGCCTCTTCAGTTCCCACATAAAAAGATAAAACAACCAAAATAAAAAAATACGCGCTTTGTACATCCTGAAATAAGAAGTTTCAAAATTGAATAAAACTGATGTCAAGATTTTTTAATGTAAAGTAGATTCCAGTATTTCAAATCCATAGAATTTTCTAAAGGAAAAAGCTTATATAAAAAGTTACAATAATTGATATCATCAATTTTATTTGAATGGTGTATATTTGATGCGTTCTTAAAAGATGTGCCACTTTTTTTATAGCTTTAATAGCTTTAAAAGATGGAAAAAATTGATATAAGATTACAACCTTAAAATATAGAATTATAGATGAACATAAAAAATCCATCGGAAAAAATTGTTTTAATGTTGAAAAACCTCTAATGGGTCATCTCGACTACAAGATGTACGAATGTGGAAAATATATATATATATATTTTTGAGTCCAAAAAATAGCATCTTGCAAGACATTATCTGACCGTCGATTTTCAAGATTTTCATATATTTATATATCTACTTGATTTTAACCATTTTTTGAAGTTTTAAATTTTATAATTAAATATAAAAATAGATTTTTAGATAATCGTAATAATTGTTTTCACCAAAATTACATATTATGATACAATTTGGAGATGTGCCTTAATTAGATTGTTTAAGATTGAAACCTTATATAAACTACACCCCTTAAAAGATATACAAAATACACAGTATCCAACTAAAACTAAAATGGACCGTATAAAGTGTGCAACCTTAATTCTACTTACAAGTAAAGTTGCAACATTATACAAACCTCACCCTTATCTAAAAGATAAAAAAGTTTATTTGCAACCTTATATTACATAAGGTAAACCTCAAAAAATAAAAACTGTTTGAAATCGTAAAACCTTCCAATTGATCATCTCGACCTCGAGATGCATGGGTGTAATAAAAAAAAAGAATTTTTAAGTCCTAAAAATAATAGATTTTGTAATAAATTATCTAGACGTTCTATTTTCAAGAATTTATAGATGTCCTTAATCTATATTGTTAGTAAAATTTTAAATTTCATAAATGGGATTGAACATGGATTTTGAAACTATCATAAGATTTCTAAACCGAAACACCATCTTTCGATAACATTTAGAAGTGCAAATCTCTCTCCCTCTCTCTCAAATGCATCACACCCGTTAGTAAAATTGACAATAATCTCCCTTTACATACTTTTTGAGATAATGTTAATTGTCTCTCCATAAGTTTATGAAGTTTACAAGGGCATAGCTTGACAAAACCATTCAATAAATTGGCCAAAAACAAAATGTCTCTATCTAAATTCACTCGATTATCAGAAAGAATAATGGTTATAATGAGAACGACAAGAAGGGGAGAGAAATATTACCAATCTACTGTGTGTCAAAAGATTCTCTGCTCCGCAGGAGCTTCTCCTTCAATTTTTGGATGTAACCTCCTCAAGCTAGCAACAACCAACCCAAAAAAAAAAAAATCAAAACCCACTCTGTGTCACTGAAAAAAATACTGGCCATAGATTGAACACAGCACTCAGCTCTCTAACTGTTTAGGAACATAAAACCCAAATTTTAAAACCACTCATTTGTGTTATAAAGTGGATCCCAAAACTTTAGATCAAGAAAATAAATCCCCTCACAAGTCTTTTGCCGAGACCAAATATACAGTGTGTTCCTGTGGGAGCCCACTGCTTTTTTTTGGGTAGCTGGAGTAATGACTTTTTCTATTGCCACTTTCCTTCCAGATATAAAATTCATATAAAAATGGTTGGATATTTTGTGGAAAACGCGGAGCAAATGCTGATAGAGGTGCCGGAGTTTAACAAGTCAAACTAACCACCAAAGAAAGCAGGCCTTGTTGAATGGGTTTTCAATGCTGAGACCACTTCTCTATCTCTCTCTCTCTCTCTAAAGACTTAAAAGGCCTTTCTTCTTCTTCTCTCAACCTTCACAGAGAACACAACCACCTTCATCTGATCCTTATTGTTTCTAGCCTCCTCTAGGGTCTCTCACCACCCACCGATCTATTTATTCAGTCCGACACCAACAAATACTGGCAGCAGCTTTGTGCCCTATCGTACCCATTTCCGGTGAGTTCTAGTGCTTTTTCAGACTGATCAGAACTGAATTCTGCGTTTTCTGGCTGATTGAATTGAATCTCAGGAGCTGAGTTACCAGTTGGCCAGATCAAAGTTTCAATAGTTCCATTTCAAAATCCGGCAACTCACACCAAAGCCTGGTGAGTACTGAACAATTAACAAAAGGTTTGTGAGTTTAATGCTTGTTTGACCAAATTCTAGTCATTCTCATCCTACTCAATTGAACCTCTACAAATTTCTCAGATTGTCAGAGAGAGATTTCTGCACTCTCTGGCCAATCTAACCAAAACCTGGCGATATCCTATTGATTGTAAGAAATTTAATCTATTCATTGTTGACCCCAAAACCAAATTCGGCTAGGTTTCACTATAAACCCCAAAAAACTCAGGCAATCGTAACCAAATTCTCGGGCAACTCAAATCTAAATCAGCCCATTTCCCTTTAAATCCTTGGAAAAAGTCCCTTTTAACCCCAAAAAGTTCAGGCCAATCCGAATCAAATTCCATCAATTCCTTGTGATCCAAAAAAGAGCTTAGGCAATTCCTGATCAAATTCTGGTGACTCCCCACCATGAATGACCTTTTCTCAAGCTCCTTCAACCGCCAAGCCCAGCCCGACCTCGAGGCAGGAGGTCCTGGCACAGAGATGCGACGCGGGCCCCACAGGGATGGGGCCACTGTTAACCTAGACCAGTTCTTCTCTGATGTTGAGGCCCTTAAAGATGAGCTCCGAGCAATTGAGTCCCTCCACTCGCACCTCAAGGAGGCCCATGAGGAGAGCAAAACCCTACACGAGCGAGCCTCAGTGCGGGCCTTGCGAACCCGAATGGACTCTGATGTGAGCCAAGCTGTTCGTCGTGCCAAGCTCGTGAAGGTTCGGCTTGAGGCGCTGGACCGAGCCAATGCAGCTCACCGAGTTCAGCCCGGGTGTGGACCTGGCTCATCGACCGATCGCACCCGCACCTCTGTAGTAAGTGGTCTTCGAAAAAAACTCAGGGACTTAATGGAGGAGTTTCAATCACTAAGAAACACTATACAAGGTGAATATCGAGAAACCATAGAGAGAAGGTATTTTACGGTTACTGGAGAGAAACCGGACGAGGCCATGCTTGATAGGCTAGTTTCGACCGGAGAGGGTGAGAACTTCATGAGAAGAGCTTTGCAAGAGGGGGGGAGAGGGCAAATTCTGGATGTCATTTCAGAGATTCAAGAGAGAAGAGATGCAGTTAAAGAGTTGGAGAAGAGCTTGGTTGAGCTGCATCAGGTCTTTATGGACATGTCGGTTTTGGTGAATGCGCAAGGCGAGCAGCTCGATAATATTGAGAGTCATGTTGAGAGGGCAAATTCGTATGTGAGGGGAGGAACGCAACAGTTGGAGACTGCAAGGAAGCATCAGAAGAGCACTAGGAAATGGACTTGCATCGGTATAGTTGTGCTCTTGGTCATCCTCCTCATCATCCTCCTACCAATTCTACTAAGGAATACAAACAATGGTGGAAACAACAATGGCACCGCACAACCGTAGTTATTAGCGGCATTTTGTTCATCTTCTTTCTGTTTTCTTCTTTTTTTTTCCTTTTTTTTGTTTGTAGTGTGGGGTGTTCATACCTGATCATCATTTTGTGCTTGAGTGGTATACATGATAATGGATTTGATTTCCTACATTGACATCATACTAAACTTGTTGATCTTCCTCTAAAGAATTAGGGAAAACATGTAGAAAATGAAGAAATTTATCTAAAACACATCAAAAGAAGACAAAAAAAACATCTTTATGTATCCAAAGAAGGAAAAATCTCCTCCTCATTTTCATTAATTCATAACACACGCATACACATTTCTTATATTCCATCCGAACAGGAGGAAATCAAAGTTCATGTAAAGCTAAATGTTTATTTTATTTAATTGATACCAGAAAACCAAGTTGGACAAAAAGTTGAATGTTTATTTTTCATTGTTTTATTTAATTGATACCAGGAAACCAAATTGGACAAAAAGTTGAAAAAGTTGAACGTTTATTTTTCATTGTTACTAGAATGTCTCACCATATCTAACACGAGTATTGAAAGGCAGCAGGAATGGAGCCGTGAAAAGCATAATGCCTATAAACCAATGAAACAAATTGGTGCAGTGCAAGAAAGCAGAGCAAAATGCACAAAACAACACTTGCGCACACACACAGCTAATTAGTGATGGAAACTCATTTCTCCAACCAGAAGTCAGCTTTTTGTAGAAGGAGTCTCATGGAATAGCTTTAAGGGTTACCAATTTCATAGGTTCCATAAAATCTGCCTCAAAGCAAATAGTTGCATCAGGCACGTAAATACAAATCTGAAACAACCAACCTTAAAACTGGCCAAAAAAACAGGGAAGATTACACTTGAAGACTGTTACACACATGAAATCCATGACAGTTGTTTTTGCATATCCTCTAAACCTGGTTATTGCCAAAACCCTAATCCGTTTAAGTCCATTCTCTGTTTCTTTCCTAATTTTATTTTGTCTTTGAGAATTCTACCACTTTCCCAATATTTTCAGAGAGATTCAGAACTTTTCATTGGACCATTTCCAAACTCATTGAAAAGTCTAAATGTCTCGTGGTTCTGTCAAGGAATTTCTTATCATGCGGAACTAGAGCCAGGCCTAGGTAAAAGGTACATAATAAATGAGTGGCTTAAGGAGTGGCATTCTGTCATTGGGGCCAGGAGTCTCTTTTAGAAATTCTAGAGTTTAGAGTCAATTAAGGCCTAGAACTCATGAGGTGGGAGAAGGGCTTTGGCAGGGTTGCAATATAATTGTTGGATTAACACAAGCATCAGACAATGGTTCCTGAGAGAAAAATATTCTCCCTTATTTATATAGTAATGCTTGTTATACTTTCCTCCCCCTCTTTGTTGTCTCTTTTAGGGTAAAGTAGCACAATATCAACCGGAAGAAGCTCTAAAAACAGCTACCATAATGTATGAAGTTCTGAAGTATCTAACGTAAAGATTGAAATTGTAGCAGTAACAACAATAAAGACCACTGAAAAGCATTCTATTACAAATCAATTAATAGAACACATACAAGAGCGCTGGCAGCCTGGCAAATGATGCAGCTCAAGAAGCTTTAGAAGCATCCTAATAGGAGTTTTATCATTTGCTTGCTTAAATTCTAATTCCCTTTTTTTAAAAAGTTTTTTCAAGCTTTTCCCTGACAAATAAAGCTGGAGACCAAATGGAATCTCAAAGAATCAAGTTTTACAGGTTCACCAATAGAATTACAAAGCTTACACAGAAAAACTCATGAGGAAAACAGAGAGTCTGGTGTGTTGGTTAAGAAACTTCACATCATCTCCAGACAGCAATGCACAAGTAAAACCAGGAGATTCAAAGAGGGAAAAAAACCAGGAGATTCAAAGAGAAAGACTAGAATCTCTGAGAAGAGATCAGAGCATTTAAGATGCAGCCTGCGAGCGTCTCAGTAGAAGCATCAACCTTTATGTCTATGCCATATTTGGAACTCAGTTGGCTCCACTCAGACTCCCCTGGGTCACTCAGGCTCAGCAGGGTGCCAAATCCGGAACCATACAGATTGGAACCGGCTGATGTCGCCAATTTCCATTGTTTTTATTAACTTTTTGAACAAACAGACTTGTCTGAGTTTCTCAGACATGATACCGTCACAGCCCTTCTGAGTTCCCACCCAACTTTTTGTTTTCTAACACTGTTTCTATGAAGCAACTACCAGATGAATAGAGCTGGAATTCAACCACAATAACCAGACAACCCCTAAGAGTACACGCATACAGATCATGGAAAACTAGAAAGTTCAGACAGAAGTACATGGGTGGCTTTCAAGCTACTACCTAAAAATAAAGTTTGATCAGCCTATAACAAAAAACGCCATGGCAAAGCATAAAATTTATCTTTAACAGGTGCTCCATGACGACCAAAAAAATCACGAATTCAACAAGGAATCAACCATCAAAATAGCCCTAAAAACTCTAATGACATATATCTTTAATACAGCCTAAAACTCACAACATAACCCGTCAATAGAACCATGAAATTCATGAGAAAATATGAAATTGAAAATAGAGACTTATGGTCTTGATTTAAGAATTTTAGAGAAAAGCTTCAGCCATCATTTTTTTAAAGAATGAACAAATACTTTATCAGAGAAATAGATTGAATTCAGCATAAATAACCATTCAAGAAACCATGAATTATAGCTATGAAGCCCAAAATTAAAATTGGCAAAGAGGCACTTAAATTACAGCATTACAGATCCTCCATTCTTCAGGGCCATTTTTCACATTACAACAAAGCATAAAGATTCACAGGTAGACAGAAATAGGGTTTGGTCTCTCAGGTGCGAACAAAAGGGTTCACCTGAATGCCATTATTTTTCAGGGCAGCAAGCAAAGCTTGAATCCTTTTCTTATAATGGAGAGGCCTGGACTCCTCCTCCTTTGAATCGATCAGAACCTGTGAAATCCCCAATTCTGAGATCCTGTTCCCCAGGTTTTTCCCAACTTTAGCTGCGGCTTGGGAGTCCCAAAACATGTGAGAACGAGGAAATCTGTTAAGTTTTGCCTTGTACTCTGGTAAGAATTCTTGCTCCATTGAAGACGCCATGGCTACAATGGACTCTGTGTTTGTGTTCACCACCTGAGCCAATACTCTTCTGCAACTCACTGCAACTTTGAGAAGATGGCCCATGGCGAATGGGCACACATAGCTTGGAGCTTGGAGCCTCTTGTGCTGTGGTGAAGCAGTGAAAATGGCGATAAAAAGGGCGAGAATGTTAGGGTAGGGTTTCTTGACAAAAATTTCAGAACAGAGTGTGTAAGAAATTGTACTTAGCATCCATGTCATGCTTGCATTTCTCTCTCGCCATGTTCGCGTCTATCTCTGAGAAATTCAACGACTTGCATCTCTCTTTGCCATAAATTCATGTTCTCTCCCGTTCTGTCACGTCTTCTCGTAAATAGGGTTCTCTCTTTCTCCAGGGACTACTCGAAAGACTGCTCTCTCGCTCGATGACGACTGCTCGTGAATAGAGCAGCCAATGTGTCGGGCTGGCCTTGGGCTCGCACCCGAGGGATTCGATCGGGCGGGTTTTTAAGCCAATTGTTATTAGTTAAAATAGGGAAAATTATAGAGTAAAAGGTTTCCATAATTCCCTAACAACATGGAAGATCTATGCTTCGCCTACCATCGAGCCATCCAATTTTGATCTAGTGAACCACTCACCATTTGATCTTAGATCCAACGTCTCAAAGTATTTTATTTTTAATTTTTGTTATACAAATTGTATTAATATAAAATTTGGTTGTATTAATATAAAAATTGGTACGTGCTATCTTTTCATTGGGGTGCACCTATAAAAAATATTAAAAATAAATTTTCAATAAAATATAATAACCAAAATACCCCTTGAAACTTTTTGAAATATTTTGATCATTTTTTTTATTGTAAATATTTTTTTTAATATTTTTTACAAGTGCATGTTTAATAGAGGATTGGACGCCGTGTTAAAATAATTTATATAAAAAATATTACAAATAAAACAGTGTACAGACATGACATTGTGATTGGGGCAATCTTAGCCCTCCATTCAAAATGGGCGGTTAGATCAGAGGTATAAGTTTTATGTTAGGGAAGCATAGAAAGTTTGTATACTTACCCAAAAGCTAAAACTATTTCTGTCATTGATATTCTCTCTCTACTTACCTAGCCAAAACAACACTCTCTCTCATATCTATATTTTCTCTCTCTAGTTTCTCCCAAAACTATCCATCTCTATATTTCCCTCTCTACCCAATTTTTTTTTTTGCGGTGTAGTACATTTCGTGTCGGACCGCCTTTTTAGCCAAAAAACTTCAAGAAAGTTATCGGTCGAATTTTTTTTTGCAGTCTAGCACACATTTTTTTTTTTGGGGTTTGGGAGCATGTTTTTGTGTGCCGAACCGCAAAAAGATTTCATTGTCGAACCGTATTTTCAAGCCTTGTATCATTTGATGTAGAGAGAATAAGAGTGACGATAGGTAAAGAGAGAGAGAGAGAAAAAGAGAATGTGAAATAATAGGCCTGTAGGTAAAGAGAGAATAAGAGAGGTAGAGAGAGAAAGTGCATTTTGAGACAAATTGATAGCATGTCACTAATCTTTTCAAAAGGGGAAGAGATGGAACAAATGACATTTTAATCCTAAAACTCATAAACTATTTGACTGCGGGTAGATATAAGAATAAATAATTTGGAGTTTGGGATATAATACAAAAAGTAATTAGAAGTAGAATATGTGAAAAGTTAGAATTGGGGATATCTATAATTTTCCAGAAAAATTATTAGGTAAAATATACAATGAAACCATTTACTGTTGGTGCAATGTGCTCATAATTAATCTTTACCAATGGATGTGAAATGGATGGTTGCATTTATTCCATTAACTAAGCTCAAACTTAAAAAATATAAATGGTTTTATTATAAATAATCTCAATATATAAAAAGATTATTTTAGTTTTAATGTAAAGAGATCACAACTTTTATTGTCTTTCATATTTGGGTGCAGTTGGTATATGGATGCTTCCGTAGTTGTAGAGGTAAGGTGCACCTTCAAATTATATCATGGTATATAATTTTGATTTAAAATGTTCTTATGATTATCTCAAAATCTATTTTTATATTTGATTATAAAATTTTAAATTTAAAAAATTGTTAAAATCAAGTAGATTTATAAACATATGAAAATCTTGAAAATAGACAGTGTAGACAATATGTTGTAAAATATGTAGATAATATGTTGTAAAATACACTATTTATGAGACTTGAAATCTTTTTATTTTTCATGTTCATACATCTCGATGTCGAGATGATCAATCAAAGGGTTTTTCAAAAGTAAAATCTTTTCCGATAGATTTTTGAGGTGCATCCGTAGCTGTAGAGGTAAGGTTGCAATCTTATATAAACTTTTTCCTTCATATTTTAACTCAAATATTTGGTTGTAGACTCAAAGTTTAAAATAACGAAAAATAAATTACGGAACTTTGTGAGACCCATCTCTTTATAATAATGGTAAATAATTTCATGAGGTTTTTATAAGACCTAGGTTTTATAAAAACAAAATAAAATCTCACCTCAAATCCTCATGCAGAAAATATTTTTAGCGACAAAAATCTCTATGATGGCTCTAAAATCAATATCCAACACCAACAAAAAAAAAATAAGACTCATCAAATATTAATAAAGGATAATTTAGCCCCTATGATAAATTGTGAGAGGTTCATCCCTTATTTGAGATTTTCCGAATAGATAAAAAAAGGACTTTCATGTAAAATGGGAATATTTTCGAGCCATTTTTTAGTTTTGAAAAGAATACGAGTATCCAATCGAGAACTTTAAAAGTTAATGGAAAAAGTTGATATGATGTTGGCACCATAAAAAGTAGAATTAAGGTGCACCATTAAAATCCATTGCAAAATGTTGTTTTGATGTTTGAAAAATATCAAATTGATCATTTCAAGATCGAGATGTATAAATATAAACAAAAAAAAAGAAGTTCTCAACTATGAAAAATAGTACATCTTGCAATATATTATATTTACTTTCAAAATTTTCATGTATTTGTAGATATACTTATTAAAATTATTTTTAAATTTTATAATTAGATGTATAAATAGATTCTTGCACCATGTTAAAAAATTTTTATAGTAAAATTACATCTTATCACAAAATTTGGAAATGTGTTTTTTTATAGTAATGAACCTATAAGACCGTCGCACATTTATGTGTGTAGGACCTTAAATGATCACTATTGACTTTGGTACATATCTCTAAAAAAAAGTCCAGTCTTAATAATAATTTTTTAAAAAATTTATGTCAAATTTGAAGGTGATTATTCGAGGTCCTATACACGTTACACGGAGAAGGGTCGATCATTTTTTTTTTTTTATTTTATAAATTTTATTTTTTTACAAAATTTGAAGCCGCACCTTATTTACTTTGATTATTTAGGGTATGCAAACCACACCAGAAATTAAAATCCTCGGTTTCTCACTCTCTACGAGAAAATGAAATATTCTCCAGCTAAAGTTTCCCCTTGTCAACCAATTGATGGAACCCTCGGTGCCCATCCGCGCTCCGTATGCGCCTGAAACTTGTCGTCAGTGATCGTGGTTTCTTCTCCTTTAATGGAGGGTTCGAATTTAATGGCTTCGATTCATCAGAGAGAGCAGAGGCGCTTGGCTTCAATCTTATTATCTCTCTGCCTCTTTTTTCTGGCCATTGTTTCTGGTATCCGGTAAAGTTCCTGCATCAAGAGACGTATGCATGAATAACTAGCGAATGGTTGAATTTAGAGAGAGAGAGAGAGAGGGAGACGGAGGGAGGATAATCAGTGGCAAAAGATTAAAGTTATAGAGAGAGAGAATGACAAAAGACTCAATTTATAGATAGAGAATGTAAAAGACTAAATTTATAGACAGAGAGTTGAATCTTCTTCTTTTTATACAGTTACTCTGATCTTTCTTTGTAGCAATTCTTTTTTTTTCTTCCTGTTTTTTATTTATTTTTGGGTGGCTCATATTTTCGTGAATTTTGCTAGTGAAATTCTAAGAGAGTAGTAAATTTTTTATTACTTATTTTCTGCATAAAATTAGCTGAGAGAGAGAGAGAGAGAGAGAGAGAGAGAGAGAGAGAGAGAGAGAGAGAGAGAGAGAGAGA